GTCGGTACTCCACTATGCAAATTAGGTGGATCCTACCACAACAAAAATGAAAGCTAAAAGCCCCGAATTTCATTTTGTAAATTAAATTCGGGGCTTTTAGCTTCCATTTTTGAAACATGGTTAGAACTGTGTAGCGAAAAAAAAACATATTTTAAATCAATTAATTTATAATATTTATGCTCTGTAAATTTACATCGTGCACTATTTTGTAAAAATAAAAATATCTATAAGAACATCGGATTATATATCTTACTGTTCTTTTTTTTTATTTATATATATATATATATATATATATATATATATATATATATATATCGAGTCACGTATGGTGAGATAACACAACAGAGGTTAGGTGCAAACTCCTGTGAATGCAACACAACCAAAAAGACCTGCAGGTTACTTGTGCGGGTTTTGTGACAAAGTCTGTAAATCTGTTGCGGGACTCAAACATCACATGATTGTACACAGGGACAGGCAAGTTTCCAACGCAGGCGACACAGACAAACTTCATGTTTTCTACATGCGCAAGTGAGGTAAAAGTGAAACTTAAAAATCACTTATGGGCCCATAGCACAGTGATAGTTAATGCAAAGTTTCTGAATGTAAAACCCCAAAAAATAATTTACCAAGTGAAGAGATGGTATTTTTCTACAAAGAAGTGAGAAGCATTTTATAGATTTATATTTATATATACGTTAGTTTTTTATAGATAAACACATTTACGTATATGACATGTATATAATAAACAGTATTAACAACATTTACCAGCATAATTGTCGGAGAAATCTAAAAAAAAATATGTCTTCCGACAGGAAATAAAGCAGTATCCTACACATAACCCCCATATAGCCTGACGTGCTATACTATTTATCTACAGAGGAAGCCCCTGGCTAGTAAGGTTAAGTTACTGTTTTTGAACTACAAACTTCCCATGATTTCTCTCCAAACTAATGACATAATACATTCTGAAATTCACTAAGTCCGACAATTATTGTAATATATTTTTGTGTATACGTTAATTTTATTCTTTAGCGAGGTTAAATTACTGTTGTTGAACTACAAAAACAGTTATTTAAATTTGCTACCCAGACGTTTCTTTTGTAGCTAAATGAGATATCACGTCACGCTATATGGCGATTCCGTGTAGAATAAAGGTTCGATCCCTTTTGGAGGACACATGTTTTCTTTGAGCCTTCTCAGCTATTCAGGCCGGTAAATGGTGTTAATGCTGTAATGGTTAAATGCTTGGAACGGCATAACGTCCAGCCGAGATCTTTTCATTCATTCTTGTGTTAAATAACAGATCGAACTTGGCTCTTTAGCCTTTATTTGCAACCAGTCTAGTAGAAGAATAAGACTGAATTAAAAAACAAAACAAAAAAAACAATGAAGATTGTTTTTTGACTTTATAGCATCCTGGCGTCCTCAGGTCAGAATCTAATCCAAACCTGAAGAAGCCAAGAACAACAAACGTCGCCGAAACACGTTGTTTATAACATTTTTTCCATTTATATAGCTTTTTCCTCTATATTTATTTTTATTTCGCTATGAATTCTATATATTTCATCTCAAAACGCACTAAGTTATCAATTTATTCTTTGGGTTTATGTGTTGTCATTCGTTTCATTTGCCAAAAAGCATTGTTATCTAAACAAAACATTAATGCAAAATTCACACGCAAACTAATTATTCTTACAATTCAAGAAATGTTTTCTTTTAAATAATCAACAAAGTGTTGTAAAAACAAGTCAATCAATCATTTGTGAATGATATAATCTGAGTAATTTAGATATTTTATGTAATCGATACTCAAATTATAGTATGCTAATTGACGTTTGTAGACATGCAATTGAATGGTGCTGAATGATGTTAAGACAAGAGACTAAACTATACACGTTTATGATAACGTGTCTTGTTTTTTGGGTTTTTGTTCTTTTGTTGTTGTTTTTCCTTTAGGTAAGCATTTGTTAAAAAGCCCTACCCAATCAGAATTTGGGATGGATCCTGGGAAATCTGTGTGATAAAATCACAAACATATTCAGTCGTTACATAATGTCACGCAAAATAAAATGTAGGCCTAAACAGCTGTACACAGAAACTAGATTCAGTGCCATCCACCCGGCCAGTAAGCCACACACTTAGAGCGTAACTTTTATGAAAAGAATCTAAATGAATAATAGGCAAACATCTGTCCAGTGAAGCGTTGTTCTATTTTTGTGGTGGAGGGGGGGACACGGAATTAAACATGACAGACAGGTTGGCAGACGGAAAAAAAAAGAACGTGGCGAACTGAATCTTGAGCTCTGCTGAACATTAGAGACAAATAAATAAAGCAAAGTAAAAAAAGAACACACACACACACACACACACACATATATATATATATATATATATATATATATATATATATATATATATATATATATATATATACGTCAATGTGTGTGGTTATATACAGAGTTAAACAGGTCAGGTATACACGATGTAAAATAAACAGCTCGTGCGCACCGTTGGAAACGGAAAATTATGCTTCAGAGATCGGTTGGAATGCCTAATATTTTGTCAGCACACTAAAGTCGTTTTGTATAATACTGGCCATTCGGTAGAACATGGCGATGGATTATTCTATTTGGAAGGAAACTGAAGTCCATATATGGGTTTCTGGGTATGTTGTGCTTACACGCAACCGAAACATTGAAAGTCATCAATAATGTATTCACTCTCATATTTTTGATACCTCATCACACGTTGCAATAAATATGTGAACAAGGAACACATGAACGAAGAATTTCTCCAATTTCTTTTTTATTCGAACTCAGTCGACATCATAAAGCCCACAATTCGAGATCGCACTTAAATGTGAACACCATTAACATTTCAATGATTGTACAATATGAGCATCATCAGGAATACATATGATTCTGGGATGACTTTCTAATAAAGTTGGTGCTGAAACTACCCTACTATTTAACCCATACATGGGGGAAGAAGAGATGTGTTCCTACGTTTGCCAACAGTATTGGTGCAAAAGTGAATGTAACTAACTAACCATAATAAACCGATTGTTATAAGAAGATAATTATCAAAATATTTAATACGAAAAATACACATTTTACTTGGGGAAAAAAAGACAATTATATACACTTTGAATATATATATATATATATATATATATATATATATATATATATATATATATATATATGTTATACTTTTTACTCTCTTATATATCTTTCTACTAATCTATCGTAGATTTTGATTCTTAAAATATTTTTCACACATATATAATACTAGTAATAGTATCAAATAACTTGATTTACATCCATATTATTCTACAAGTTGTCCAGTCCGAAGGTCAAAATTTGCTTATAAAAGTTATATTAATATCCCATACATTTATATACCTTTCTACTTATATCTTAACTTCTAAACTAAATCTTATTTTAAAAAAAGTCCGAAATATATCAAGCGTTGACCGTCTGTTGATGTTTAAACGCAATCATCAATCCTAACGATTACCGCTGCTCCTTCTTCACCTCAATGTTCTCATTTATAAATACATACGCCTTATCCCTGATATTGACAACTTTAACCCATAAATATAGCATATCTCATATTTTAAAAAAAATACGATAATAAAAAACAACTAGTTAGGAATATTTTTTTAGAAATTAATGAAAAGTAATACACAGAATTTCTCGATATTATTCGACCAAACATTTCTGAAATAAATATTTCTGTCGAAAATACATTTTATTTCATATATATATATATATATATATATATATATTTATACACGTTTCATTAAATAATATAGACAAGTGTTGTCTATTTATTTTATAAAATTTTTCGTATCTTCTGATAAGTTTGATAACATTATCATTAAACGAACGTAAGAAATTCTCAATGTTATCCATTATTTTTAATATAATCTAAACTTTGCTTACTAAGCGTCTTATCAAAGTATATAAATCTTAGTGATCCATATTAAACAATATACAGACACGACAGTGATGATAGTCTGTATATTGTTTACATAGTGGTGATTTAATCTTTGATAAATGGCGCATATAAGACGAAAGAATTATATTAAAAATAATGGAAAATATTGGAACTTTTTCGTTTAATGATAATGTTATCAAATGCAGAAGATGCGATTTTACATAAAATAAATAGTCAACATGCGTGTATATTATTTAATGAAACGTATAAAATGAAAATATATGCCTAAATACACACAATATATATATATATATATATATATATATATATATATATATATATATATATATATATATGTGTGTGTCACTAACCATCCAGTATTGATACCTACATACACAAGCACATAAAACTCTTTCTCCCTCTCTCTCTCTTTCTCTTTCTATTTCTATCTATCTATCTATCTATCTATCTATCTATCTATATATATTTGGCGAAATTCAATTTTTGATAATGATTGAGACGCTTGAAAACAAAAGATGAACAATTAATAATTTTCATTTCAATGTAAAACTGTTTACAAAATATTGAAAAATGCAATAACATTTTTTTTAAAAATGACAATAAAAATGAACACCTTTAAATATGCACAGACACAAACGTACACACAAATACACACTCACACACACACACACACACATACATTCTCATATTTATTCTATGAATGTGTTAATATAAACACATACATATACACACACATATATATTCATGCACATATTTGTTTCATCTCTCTATTGCTAATATTTTCAGAACTGTTGTTTATATATCATCTATGTATCGTCTATATATATGTGTGCGTGTGTAGGTATGTGTGTGTCTGAAGAGAGAGAGAGAGAGAGAGAGAGAGAGAGAGCAACATTGTTGACATTGGTATCAAAACGGAATGGGAACAGTCTGTTTCATGTCTGATATTAAGGTCATTTTTCCCATAAATGTTGAATGCATTAAAAATTATATTTCATATATATATATATATATATATATATATATAT